ATCCAAGTGCTACATCGGATATCCTGTGCTGGAGTTTGATGGAGATAAAGTGGGGAACTGACAGACAATCATGGAAAAGGAAAAGATATCTGCATACAAGATACACCAGCTCCAATGACAAAGCAGTAGGTCAGATCCTTCCTGGGGTTAGCAAGATACTACAAAAAATTCATCCCAAATTATGCTGAAATTACTGCACCATTGACTGACCTGACCAAGAAAGGCTTGCCCAACAAGGTGAAGTGGGAACAACCACATCAAGTGGCATTCCAGAAGTTAAAGAACATATTGGGAAGCTCACCAATTCTTAGAATGTGAGACTTCAACAAACCTTTCATTGTTCAGCCTGATGCTTCAGACTATGGAATTTGGGCAGTACTCTTACAATAACATGAAGATGGACAGTTTCCAATAATAAATACAAGTAAAAAGCTGTTAAATAGTGAGAAGAACTACTCCGTGATTGAATGAGATAGTCTGGCCATTATATTTGTCATTCAGAAATTCCAGAACTATGTATATGGGAAGGAGTTCATCATCCAGACAGACCATCAGCCACTTGAATACATTCAGAGGTGCAAGGTCGACAGTATGAGGATCATGAGGTGGCCATGGAACCTTCAGAACTATAGGTTCCACATTAAAGGGACTGCAAATGTTGGAAAAGACTTTGTGTATGAACTAAGAGCAGTCTTTGAATATAGTAATACAGAAAATTGTAAATATTTTATCTTGAAGAGAGGTTTATGGCATGATATAAAAGACTGTTTGGTTTAAATATTAGTGATTAATTTATATTTGTGAGTGAATAATTTATTATTGTTTAGTTTTTGTAATAATAAGAGTTAAAAGAAGACGATTGTATGAAGTTTTGTTAATAGTTCATTGACATTGAGAATATAGAAGGCGGACAGACGATTAAGTGATAACGATATAAATAGCAAGATGAGTGGGAAGCAGACAGATAATATCAAAAGCGAATATAGTTGGTGTGAAGTTACCTACCATAGAAGTGATAGGCCTAACAATTGACTTAGGATTAATGTTTAATATATTAGAGTGAAACTAACAGTAGAAAAGAAGATAAGAAAAAATAATTTTATTCCGTCAAAGCATGGTTCTAAAGTAATTGAATCAGCCTGAGTGCACTTTGACAAGAGGAGCAGAGGATATTCAAAAGAAAGAAGACCAAACAATTATGGTAGCTCATGCCACAATTTTAAGTGAATCACAGGGAATACTAGTGCGATAGAAATAAAGAAGATAGGTCGGCTTGTCAACTGAAATTCTAAAGTAATTGGATAGGCCTAAGTGGATATTTGACAAGAAGAAGAGAACTACATATATAGTATTTATATGTCCATAATATCTATAGTGTTGAAGAATTTATTGTACATATGTTACTTGTTCTGAATATATGTGTTATTTTGAAAACAAGTGAAGTGCATGATGTTTATCATTTAATTTATCGCTAACAAGTCACAGACACCTACTATAGAAGAATCCTATGCCCAACAACAACATACTATATATATTTATACTATTAAGAAATATAACTAAAGCCTTTTTATTTTGAAAGTTGGCAAAGATGAGAGTTTTAATTCTGACACTCTTTTCATTCCTTGGAAATGAAATTGAAAAAGAATGGTGCCAAACCCCAGGCATTTCATTTCATTCATAAGTTTTTTGGGATCAATGTTATACAAAAGTTTTCAAGTTTTCATAATAAGAACTGCATTCAAACCAAAGTTCTCCTAGATATACTAAAAAAATCTACTTGAAAATACCAAAATTGCTCTCATGGTTGATATGATTTCTGTAGCTGATCAATCACAAAATTAGCCCAATAGTGTTTGGAAACATCTCTGTTTCATGTAATAAGGTAATTCACCAATAATCTCTACAAGAATATTTGATACCATACTCGTTTCTTTTATGAGTACAGTTCCAACATTTTTAAGGCATACAAAGTTTTTCATATTACATATTAACAGTAAGTATTGAACAAATTCACTTGTAACATTCTGCAACACAGAAGAATGTATGTATAATAAACACATTTAAATCAGAAATTAGATAATTTCCACATTCTATAGAGTTATACCTAGTTTTACTTTCTCATAACAAACAGGTATGTTTATTCTGAACAATGAAAGACTGAAGAAATAACTTATATTTGACCTACTGTGCTACAAAAATACAGTCAATTCAAGATTTGGTGAAAATTAGAATATCTACACAACTATAATTTCAACTCAAATCTTAATCTTACGATATTTGCAAGAATTTCACATCATGTATTGCATAGCTTTGGAAGATTAACAAATAAAAATGTTCAATTGTTTCAAATCAGTTAACTAAACCTTTAAACACTGATAACGTAAATACAATTGTTAGACAGATGAACCACCAAAACTCAAACATTTCCCATTTTGCAGCAAAAATCAAATACTTACCACAGTTTAACTCATCAGAATAATCTCTACAGTCATACCGACCATCACACTTCTGTCTTTCATCAATACAACTTCTATCACCGCACTGAAACTGACCCTCTTGACAATCTAAAATAGAATATAATATACAAAGCTCCACAGCAATCACAAAGGAAGCTGGATAAGACTGTCAAAAATTATAATAATATAACTCCACACAACCTTTTCATTTTATGCTAATGATTTAGAAAGTAGAAGCTTTTTTTTTCTTTTTAACAAAACAAATTACAGCTGTTTATGAAATATGAACAGTTGAAAAACAAATGTGTAACAAACATTGCTGTGAATGTGAAATTATTATTAAACACACTGTGTGACCAAAAAAAAAAATACCTGATGCACAAATTCTTTAACAGTGTAAATAAACACAAGCACAAAATAAATATAACCAGCAAAAATGAGTTCTAAGCTTAAAAACTTGTAAAATCCATTTATATATAATGCAGAAAATGAAATGCTTCAGAACTTGCATATTTTAGGCACACTGTCAAGACAATTAAATATTCCTGAAACAAGCAGTTAACACATGTAACTACAATATAATCACTTAGAAGACTCCATATACCCAAAGTTCCACATCCAAAACCTTTCTGAAAAACACTATTATGATACTTCGTATAAAATAAAATAAGACTGTTTACCCTAAATTAAAAAATTCTTGATTATAACACAATCACTTCGAGGACATATTTATCTGCAGTCCCCATATTCCAATTCAGAAGCTTATTCTAAAGTGAAAATCTTTATCTCAGATGTCAGACTACTTAAGTTACACCATCAGAGCCACTTAATGGGCTTTCATTGGACACAAGACATATTACAGAAGACTTGTGTGAAAGTTTACCTTACAAACGGATAACTTGTCAAAGAACACAATCAATGAGCGTACTCAAAGCTAATAAATAGTATTTATATGTTCTATAAGTGAATTATACATTATTCTTTTATATTATTTTCATTACCAGTACTTGTCAGAATGCTTAATATATCTACTTCTATAATTATATATATATTTTTTTATTATAGAGAATATTTTGCACTATTAGCTTAGTAGAAGGATTTAGAGCTAACTTAAATCTCCTAAGTTGTCCAAACTCAAGATATCATTGGGTTTCCAACTGAAAATATTTATAGTGAGGTATAATATTTATAATATTATAATATTTATACCCAAATGAAGAAAAAATGCATTCTTATCTTCATAAGAGAAACACTAATCATTTCTGAACTGACATTTAGTTTTAATCAAAGTACATAGTTTACTCTGACTGGAAGTTAATATCATGTCGATTGAAAAAAAAAATACAGCCCAAACTAATTATTAATGAAAGATTTTATATTTAATGCTGTGAATCTGTGTATTTATTATTAAATATCTAAATTTTAAACAACCTATTCCAGGTTCGGTAAATATACATCAAATTGTCCTTTTAATAGAATAAACTGAAATACAATGTAGTTGGACTTTACACTACACTTAAGAGAAATTTTTTCAAGATGTATCCAAACACATAAAATAACTCAAACCAGAGATAAAAACAAAAGAAAAAACATGTGTCTGCAACAATACTACAGGCAGTTATAACTGGGACCCAATTTGAAATAACTGTTGGTGGATTAGTGTAAAATGAGCTCTTTCTAATGACTATATACATGTATATTTAGCAACTACATGTATGTTATAAAGCTCAAGCAAAAGTATAGAAGAAGTTTCACCCATTAGGGGTTCACAAACTTTGTTACTTGTTTCTACTCCATTTAGCTAAAACTTTGAAACTTGTGTGTTAACAGAGAAGTCAACATACTAAATTTTCTAAACCTACATCAACAGCACTGGCATTATCCAAGTCAAGATCGAAAGTGTGAAAATTGAGATTTTTCAAAGCTGGTAAGTCACATGACAATACAAAACTGAAATTTAAGAATTTTGTTTTAAAGGTTTCTTTAGAAATAAAGGAATGACAACATAAAACTTTGAATCATAACATACATTATAATGTTAATTTCATTTCACATATAATGATAGTAGAGTTGTTTAATTACATTTTGAATGTAACTCCGTGACTTTCACAGAAAAGTGTTTAAAAAGATAGCCATCAGGAAAGGGTTAACATCAACCATTTCTGTGGTAAAAGTTTTTCCACTTTTTGGTTTTTGATTTCATTGTGTCACAGCAGTTTTTAAGGTGATTTTCCCCACCATATCACTTCAGTCTTTTAAAAAAAAAAAATTTCTCAAAAAAAAAAAAAAAAATCCCTTAGTAAATAGTAATAAAACTTGTAACTAAAAATTAAGTAGAAAACTTTCACATATAGTGTAGAGGGTTGGGTTATTATTAAGCACAAAGCTACACAATGAGCCATCTGTGTTTTACCCACCACAGGTATCCAAACATGAATTTTAGCATAATGAGCCTGTAGACTTACTGCTAAACTATTAAGGAGATGGGGGGCTATACTTTAGATAAGATGATAGTCAAGGTTATATAAAAATACATCTCTATTACATTTTACATAGAAAGCACAATTATAAACTGACTAAGTCAAATAACTTATACAAAGCTTACCACAATCAGCTTCATCAGAAAAATCTCTACAATCAACTGTACCATCACAATGTTTTCTTTCATCTATACATGAACCATCATTACATGTAAACTGTGTAGAGGAACATCTTGCAGTACCTGGTTCAAGCAAAGTTATAAGCTAGATTAGAAAAAAAGTGGAGCACTTCTGACATTTTTACAAAATGACAGTAAAATGAGAGATAGTAATAAAAGAGAGAATGTCATAACTAACAATATTTTTGTAAAATAAGATGTGCTTATGTACACCACAAACACCGAAGTGAAACACTTGAAACTGGTGTCGCATAGAAGTTCCTTTTTCAACAACATACATCTCTAATTCATCAGTTTCATGTATAATCAATAGCAGTCCAAGTACCTACTTTACTTTAATATTTATGGATCTTGCAGTTGAACATTTTGTTTTGTTAGTTTTCCAAAATCTGTAGTGTAAAAAGACATTAACTTAGTGACAAGAAATATCCTCAGAGATCACAGAGTGATAAAATATTTAGTGTCATCTTCACATGGACTTTGATCCGACTAGGAGTTTTACAAAACTAACCATATGTGAAGTTTCCATACAGCAAGTAAATACTAACAGCTCAATAAATTTGTTGTGGTTTCACCATGTACCATCTGAAAATAACGTTACACATTAACGTCAGCAGAAAAAGTACTTTATAAAAGTGCCTTTTTTTTTTTGTCAGTTGTATTTTTATGAATGAGGTTATTAACTAGGAATAATGAATAAAGAGTAAAAATCCGCATCAACCAAATATATTATATTGAAACATCTTCCAAGTCAATGAGATGATTATTAAACTTCTGAAGACTGTATGTACTATATTTTTGTTGTATCCACAATTATTTTGATGTGTAACCAATATTTATATTGCAACAATTCTTCTCATACAAATATCTAAATATAAAAATTATTGGAATTTAAGTAACTAACAAATAGAAAATCAATTCATTGAAATATTGATTATACCAAAGATAAACCATCATTCTCAGAAGAACCACAACTTAACTAAATAATCATTGTAAAATACAGAAGAAAAAATATGCCGTATCAAAATTAACACTAATCTATAAAGATGGTTAATGCTATAGGGTCAGACGTATAATTACTGAAATACTATCAAGATTAAGACAAACAAAACCTAAGTTACTGTACACCACAACTTACCACAATCAACTTCATCAGAAAAGTCTCTACAATCAACTGTACCATCACA